TTGGATGTCGAAAGGTGCGGTGGATATGTCTATAAATACATAGATACAGCCATACCCCAACATAGTTCAAAAGGACGTACCATCTATTACCATCACTTTCGGCACATTAATTACGTATAGCGCTATCCTTTATAGGGTACGTTCCACTTAACGCCCACAACGATCACGACCGCGACCGCGGTTTTGTCGTTCCACTAGCTTAGAGGCGTTGTGGGCGAACCCTTAAGTGGAACGCTTTTGGGTACGGTGTGACGTCACGCGTGAGTGAACAGTTTTCCAACATGGACGCCGTTGAGGAGATCGTAATGCGTAAAGGATAGAAAGTGGGGTGGATTATGAATTCAAAAGTCACATTAAGTTAGTAAAATTTTTTTTATTTTTCAGTACCAATTATTGACACATACTTCTTCGCTTTACACAAGATATGGCTTCTTGTTAATAAAATATTGAAGACGACTTTTGAATTTCTATCATAAATGTTGCGGCCATACTTAATACGATGATAATGAACACTTCTCCCCAGAATTTCTTTTGGGAATGCAGCTTTGAAAACAATTTCTCTTCTTCATTCAAAACAAACATGCATTTTCATTAATCGTTGCATTACCATTTATACGAGTCTCATTCGCATTCCCTGGTAAAGCACTTTGCAGCAAACTAGTGGCAAATCTAAGATCTGCAATAAAGAAAATGGTGTTAGAGCAGAATTTTCCTTAACAAATAACTTTAACATTCACGAATCAGCATATATACTTACCCGTTTGTGCATGTAGAACATCCATAGTGATGTCCACCACAAGGTTACGTACTGAAACACGTAATTATATTTTCTCCATAGCGAAAACGAAAAATTTGTAACGCATGCGTGTTCAAACAATTAGTGTCTGACAGTTAAATGTCTCTAGAAATGTCTCCTGTCAAGAATGTAAGGTTATAAAATTAGAACTCCCACGCTGACCCAGGTACGATAGGCGAGCGCCGTGGGCTCGTTGCGGTCGCTAGTAATGACGTCATATCTGACGTCGCGATTGCGACCATAACGACTGTGGTCGTTATGTGGAACGGCAGCCGGGCGTCGTGGTCGTTGCGGGCGTTAAGTGGAACGTACCCATAGAGGTACCCTGAGCATGGAAGACAAGATTCGCATTATTTATTATAACTGTCAATCAAATTGTTAGCACAAATCACACAGAAAATTATCAGATTTGAGACTTTACAACATAAATAAACCGCCTTTTTATTTATTTAAATCGCATAGCAGCAAGAAATGTTACATTTAAAATGGAAGATGTTACTTAGAAAACTGGCAAATGAAGAATTTGAAAAAATTACAGCTGACAACTGGAAGAAAGTGTGTGAAGATGTGGAAAGTGATTAATTTAAAAGAGAAGTTATATTGGTTGATGTTTCTGAACTTTATAATAAGTGTTAATAATGACAGTGATGATAAGGATTTGTCAATTTCATCTGACGATGATTCGGATTGTGAACTTTTACAAACGTAATGAATGTTCACTAAATGAGAATTATCATCAATTGGATATCATTGTTAAGATTTTGTATTTATTTTAAATAAATGTACACGTGTAGCTTACTACAATTAGCACTATAATTTCAAAAAGAAACCCCACCGATTGGACTATGCCGAAAGGTAGGCAAGACGCGTAGCGACCAAAATTTGATATTGCACGCACACAACAGTCTATAAATCTCGCTTTCCTAAGAATATTGCACGCATCCTTCTTTGTGATCATGATACAAACGCACTGCATCAACATCATATAGGCCAAAATGATAATTGGAAACGAATTCACTTCCTGTCGCAACTTAATCTCCTTTACCATTACGCCTAAAACCATGCAATTAAAATTAAAATGTTGAACATAAACTTTACTTACTTACGGTTTTTTTGATATTCTGCAAGCCAGCAATGAATTCACTGCAGCACATCATGCCAAACAAGGTAAACATAGTCGCAAATTTGAATGGCGTAGCTCTATGTAATAAAACTATTTCAGGAATAACAATTATGGACGCGTCTATCATTATGGCAAGCAATAATGTTATTCGTATTCAATTGATAACGCAATAATTACATAATATTTAGTGAAAAAACCGCCCATCATGTTTAGGGCGAATATTTTTAGTTAGATTTGATTTCGCGGGATCGTGAAATGTGTCAACTGTCACATGACTTATGGGACGCGCTAAGTTTGTTTTAAGCGTCCGATTCGCGTACGACGTAGTGGTTAATGCAATAAAAAGAGATAGAACATGTTTCTTCTTGGTTAGAAAGTAATGGAGAGATGTACAAATTTCTTAGATATGTTTTTTAAAAACCGAGGTACGTTTGTTAAGGATGGCTGTATCTAGGTATTTATATATCTATGATTATTTATAAAGTCACTAAATATAGAAAGTACCGCAATCCATTAGGCTCGTGTGTTAGAGAGAGAACGCATGATTTTTGCCCAAAAATGGCGGAAATTACCAGATTCTAGTAACTTTAATGTTACGGATTGTTCCACCTGTTTTTTTATATCTAGTGACTTTAATTATTTATTAGTAATGGCGCCATCTACTAGCTACATTGCGATTTAAAATGACGGAAAAGAGAAGATTATTTTTATACAAACCTTGTCCTGACAACAAATACAGTGTATTGTGAGTGCCTTGGTCATTCTGGGCGTTGCACGAATAAGCGAGGCCTTTTTGAAAGGTTATTTCAAATAGTCGTCCACTATCAAAGAGCCATTCTATAATTGTGATTACAAGAAGTCCAATTCACTTATATAAGTAAACAAGAAATTGAAAAGTAAAGAAAAATCAGAAGCGACATCGGTTTGTGAAGAAGACTGTGCATCTGCGAAAGAAAATTGGAGACAGGGCCGGATTTTAAAATTACTAATTTGTTTTAATCGATCGCGTCGTGTGCGTGGTACATTGTTTGCAGGCCCTGGGTGCCATTCTTTCTTTTCAGCATTATTAACAATTGAGATTCAGAAGTTTTCTTCTAAGGGAAAATCGGTAGAATTAGAAACTGTTACAGAAAGCGATTGATACAATGCCCCCCAAGACTTACGTTCCAACTTGCCGCCGTCCGTTATGCTTTCAACGATCTTCTTCGCCTCCTCCGTCTCAATTTGATTATCCTTTTTCTCTTCGGAACTCTCCTTATTGTTCACGGCCTCGTTTTTGCGCAAATTCAGCTGTTGCAAGTGGAAGGCGGCGTACTTAATGAACATCATGTAACGAGAATCGACAAAGCTGTCGATGAGCTCCTGCCTGAGGCAACACAACTTGTGCTTGTGCTCTATCGGAAAGCCCAACATCATTACCTCTTTGCTCAACTCCTCGTCCACTAAAACAGACCCGTTACGTAAAGGAATGCGTTAAATTGGGAACAAACATTTCAGGAAGTTGACATCAGGAGGGAACGTTCGTAGCAGGTCGAGAATGTAATGGCGTCCATCGTTACCAATGATACCCTTGCATTCGACACTGGAACACAATTCGATCGATTCGTCCTTCTCATTTAGTACGTGATGCGGAAGAATCTTAAGCTGCTGCCCTGCTTTATTTAACTACAATGATAAAACTCACCACGAGCAAACCAACCGTATCACCTTTACCAATTCCAAGTACTTCGGGTGCGTCAAAACCGTTTTCCCGAAATCAATCGACCCGTAAACAACTGACTGCTCTTGTTCGCGTTCGAGAATGCCGGGAATAATCGATTGGGCGGTAACGCGGTACCCGCGGTAGTCGATGACGACAGTTCCCAACGTGTACAGGCCGGGTAAGTCGACGGCGCTATACACGCGAACGCCCTGTAGGTCGTTGCGGGGCGCCACGAACGCGGCGGCGTCACCGCCCAGCTCTTTGTAGTGATCGCGAACGTCGAAACCAAAAGAGAAGAAGATATTGTTCCATATGAACATCTGCATTTTCGCCTCCTCTCCCGGATTGATCGCCATCACGTTACCGTCAATCACAGCCATCGCCCCCCGAGTTGCGGCGGCAACGAAGTCGCCGTGAACTTTAAAAATCGCCCTCTCGCGAAGCAGACGTTCCGGCAACGTTTTTCTCGGCAACTCTCTGGTAGTCTGCAGTTCCTCGTTCCAGTCTCTCGTCTGTCCGGGAATGTGCTCTTCGTAGCCCAACTTCGAGGAGAAAGCTGAAATCGTAGACCTAGACAATTTGAAATGGAAGTAACGAGGCGAACTTACTGTCTTCGGCGCGAATCGCGTCGATCGTGTGTTCCATCACGGGGGCGGTCCATACGTATATTTGATACGGGGTGGCGACGCGCTCGAAGGGGTGTCTTTGGCTACGTTTCTTTTGTAAGGTCGTAAAATTACGTTTGAATAGCGGCGATATTTGGTTTAGTAGTTCGATTAACGAATGACACAAGTGACTTGGTGAGGCCGCTTTTGGATTAAAGTCCTGATCTGTTGATCTAAAATAATTATTTAATAGCTACTCAGATAATTACATAAACAAAAATTTAAAGAAATTCGCCCCGCGACAGTGCCTAGTCTGAAAAAGTGTTGTCTGTGAGGTGGAGTTCGGTGTATCTCCCTTGAGAAGACAACAGAGAAGTGAGTTGCAGAAAATTTAGTGGAAGTGCAGGAAGAGTTAAAATGTCAATCCACCATTCAAAACAGGGTATTTGTTTATTTAATTTTGTGGCAGAGGTACTGGAAGACTTCTAATTAAACTGACGTCCAGCTACGCATTAGACTAATGTGTAATTGTTTGAAAATCAACGCGGTTTCAGCTCTATAACAGCCTCCCATCAAAATTCAAAACTCTTGGGCAATTATATTTTTAAAAAAAATTATTCACACATTTAATAGATTCATAAAATAGTAAAATATAATTTTTAATCTATCATATTTTTTATTTCATTTATTTTTTCTTGTTTACAGCTATCTTTTGTTGGTTTCCCAACACCTCTCTAAATAATTCTTTTTTTAAAGCGAATTTAAGACCAGTGACCGGACTGGTTTCTTACATTTGGTAGTATGTTAGATATGTTGATAATATATGTACATGTCTACACATCGAATATCTAAATAATATAAAAGGATGAAGCCGCCAACAAGAGGTTGAGTGGAAGAGCAGCTTTTAACTCCGCCTCTAGTGCACAGAATTATATTTTTGTTCCTTTTTTTTTCTTAAAAAGTACTAAAGGCATTATTATTATTATTATAACTTCTTTAATTCGATCCCGAACCAAACTCTATAATCTGTAGTCTTTATGGCGTTTTAATTTCTTTTTCTTTTGAGCGTCTATCATACAAAAAATTGACAACTCACTACTTGACGTCCACACAGTCTGATAACTAAAAAAAATTAATTTTCTTAAAATTATGCTACTCGTCGTCCTCGCACAGTATTCGCAAGGGAAGGGGAAGGTTTACTCAAACACAAACTACTAACTGCAGCAGCTTCTAATGGCCAATTGAATGTCTGGTCTTCACGCCACAAGAATACTAATGTAAAATTGCAAGAAGGTTGATCATTAGTTTTAGATTGCAAAAAAATTAAAAAAAGAGCAGCATTCCTTGCTAATGGAGCACTACCAGACAATCACATTTCAATCACAAATAAATAAAATTGTAAAATACGAAAAAACAGCGGAATGATAAAAAAACATTCCGCCGAAAAAAAAATCAAAAGATGAGAGGGGCAAAAATCCCACCCATCCCAATGATCCCATTAAAAAAAAACGACAACAGCCGGACACAATGCTCCCATTAAAAAAATAGAGACAAAGATCCCACTTAATCCCGTTTCAAAATAAAAATTTAAAAAAAATACAAAAAAGCAGGGGACAATGATCCCAACCATCCCAATGGTACCATCTTAAAAATTCTAAGAGCAGGAGACAATGATCCCGTTAAAAAAAAATACGAAAAGAGCAAAGGACTATGATCGCATTGGAAAAAACCAAAGGAGCGGGCGACAAAGATCCCACCCCTGTCAATTAATCCTGTTTCAATATTTAACAAAAAACAAAAAAGCAGGGGACAATGATCCCATCCATCCCAATGATACCATCTTAAAGAAATTCTAAATGAGAAAGAGACAATGATCCCGTAAAAAAAATACCAACAAAGGTCTATCATCCCATTGGAAAAAACCAGAGGAGCAGGCGACAAAGATCTCACCCATCTCAATTAATCCTGTTTCAATATTTAAAAAAAACTAAGAAACAGGAGACAACGATCCCATCCATCCCAATGATACCATCTTAAAACAAGTACAAATTGTGCACAACCCTTGTGCAGGTAAAGCGCATTTTTTTAAACACCCCTACGAAATTTCTTCCATAAATAAGAAAGTTGGCACTGCGCATGCGCAAAACGAAATTTTTTGAAACTGGCGTTAAATTTGGTTTTATTCCAAGTGACTATGTATCAAATTTTATTTAAATGCGCAATGGTTATATTTCTTCCAAACGTTCCAATCGCCCTTTGTAGGTACTTTCCTTTGACAATTTACTCTTAAGATAGAAGGAATTATAACCGATCACGAAAAGGGAAGGCTATGGTTAGTATAAATTAATTCCTTTCGATGAGACCTTTCATTAGAACACCATGAAGAGTAGAACATGTGTTTACCCCCCTCCCCCCATTTTCTAAAGTTTAACTTGGCACCACTAAAGGCATGCGTATGCAAAATCTGAGACCAATTGATTGTTGTATGTAAAAGTTATGCACGTATTACTTTCAAAAACAGCATCTCAGGAAATAAATCGTGGGGGGCCCCCCTTTTAGACAGCGAAATTTGATGGCCGTCTGGCACACCTTCAAGGTATAGGCTGCCTACTGCACAAAATTTCCAGGACTCTAGGACCATTCCCGTAGAAGTAGTTCAAAACGGTAGACGTGGGTCCGGACGAACGGACGGACAAAACGCAAACAATAGCACATTCTTTTTAATTCTTAAAAAATGCGCTACAAGCTACAATCTACAACTTCTAAAAGAGCAGGAGACAATGATCCCGTTACAAAAATACCAAAAGAGCAAAGGACTATGAACCCATTGGAAAAAACCAAAGGAGCAGGCGACAAAGATCCCACCCATCTCAATTAATCCTGTTTCAATATTAAAAAAAAACAAAAGAGGAAAGGACAAAGATCCCATTAAAAAATACCAAAAGAGCAAGGGACAATGATCCCATTAAAAAACCAAAAGAGTAGGGGACAAAGAACTCACCCATCCCACTAATCCCATCTAAAAAAATACCAAAGAGGACAACAATCCCTTTAAAAAAACAAAAGAGCAGAGGACAAAGATCCCACCCCTCCCAAATAATCCCATTTCAAAAACACCAAAAGCGCAGGGAGAAATGATCCCACCCATCCCATAATTCAGTTTCAAAATACAAATTTAAAAACCAAAAAGAAAAAGACAAAAATCCGATCCATCCCCGCATGATCACATTTAAAAAATATATACCGAAAGAACAGGGAACAATGATCCCATTTAAGAAAACCAAAAGAGCAAACGACAAAGATCCCACTCCTCCCAAATAATCCCATTTCAATATTTAAAAAACCAAAAGAGCAGGAGACAATGATCCCACCTATCCTATCCCAATTCATCCCGTTTCAATATAAAAAAAAAGAAGCCAATGATTCCATTAAAAAAAACAAAAGAGCAGGGGACAATGATCTCATTAAAAAAACAATAGAGCAAGGAACAAATATCCCATCCATCCCAATGGGCAATGACCCCATCTAAAATATACCAAAAGAGCAGAAGACAATGATCCCATTCATAAAACCAAAGATTCCACCCATCCCAAGGATTACATTTAAAAATATACCAAAAGAACAAGGGACAATTAAAAAAAAACAAAAGAAAAGAGGACAATTTTTTGGGTGGTAGAAAATATGAATCTTAATTTCGGGATTATTAAACTAATTATTTTAGGAGTGAGTGCACTTCCCAGCTTCACCATTTAAACTGACCTCAATTTCAGTACTCTCCCACATGTAGTTAGATTAAAGATAAGCAGTTTTGGTCCCAGAATTAGAAAAGGTACACATCATTAGCATATAACTGTCACTTCATTGTCTATTGTTCCAAAGAGAGGAAATTCATAAAACGAATGCAATTGGTGTACCTACTGATTAATATAGAAACCTCTTGAGCACGCCGATATGTGATAATGTTTATCCTCGAGCGTTACAACATAAAGATACATAAGATCGCCGTGTATTTTCCTGTGACCGGGCGGAGGGTTCCACGCCGAGGTCGTTAGCACCTAAAAGCACACGTACTTCACAAACTCCAACACGAATTTCATACCTTAACGCACTGCGGGACCTTGCAGTCCTTTAGCTGGGGCTGTAGCGCCGAAAGCGGCCGATCCTTGCCGTTGGGCATAATAAATTCGGGTGGCGTACAGTCGACACTCTCCGGTCGTAGCTTCTTCTTTTCTACAAATCAACTCTGTCATTCAAGCTTTTGTAACGGGCGATCAAAAATGAGTTGCTGTCGAGTCGCCTTTGGAAGTTTAAGTTAAATACGATTTCCCATGTAAAAGTTCCAAAGGTGACTCGACAGCAACTCATTTTTGATCGCATAGTACATGCACTCTGTGTATTTAACACAGCCAACTGAGACGATACTAAGATTCTATTGTTTAAATTATTTGTGTTGCACACTCCATGACCCCCCACATTCAAAAGCAAAGGGAGGTTCTCAAACTCACCTAATATATCACCTTGTGTCACCGCGTTCAGGAATGAGAGTGAGCTGCACTCGACTCCGTTGTACGCGTCGGCCGGATCTAGAGACTTTAACAGGTCTCGAATGTGCCTCACGTGTATACGCGCCTCTCGCATCGTGTACGGCTCCTCGACGACCTTGATCACGGAGCCCTCCTTTAAACCTTCAATGTTTTTTAATTCGGCGAAATTATCCAGCGAGTTACCGTCGAGCTGCAGCGAGAAGCAGGTACGATGGCACGTGTCCTCCCTGTCCATCAGCAGCTGGTGAATTTCTTGCACCAGTTCGATGCTAGAAACCTGCGGATTCTCGATAGTATAGTGTCCCGACAATTCGTAGAATTGGCCTTACCTGTATTTCGAACATGTCCGTGCCTGGGCTGACGATTTTAACCGAAAATCCCACGTCTTGTATGAAAACCACTTCATCTTTCTTTGCATCCGATTCGCTCGAATTTTCTGCTGAGAAAAAATTAACGTTAAGCGAGAGTCACGTGGATTCAAAGGGAGGGCAGGAAGATGCTCAAGAAGTGCTTAAAAATAGTCCCTCAAATGACAGAAGGTAGGTAAACAAGGGATTTCATTGCATGGGGCCGTTTCTCTAATTAAAGAACGCAATGGACGAGTAGCAATTCAATTAACGGGCTAATTTAAAGAATTAAATAAAATCAAAGGCGATTGTGACATCGATGCATTGACAAATCAAATCAGCGAACAGCCATTACGTAACGCATAAAAGCGGTAAATGAAAATTGAAGAAGTTTCGCAAGAGTCTCGGAGAAACTTACCGGTAATTAGGCCGTTTTCCTTCGATTTGCACGTATTTTCGTCCGAATTGTCTTGGGCACAATTACTCTCCGTTTCCTCAACCTTTGTACCCAAAGCCATTGCACGTTAATTACTGGGTCGGAAGCGCTTGAATTACTACTTGCAGGGGAAATGCGAGTACTTAACAACGGAAAATGCCGGTTTTTCACTAATTTTGCTATTAGAAAACCAAACCGAAAATTATGGGGTTTAGTGCACGTGCTATGCAAGGTCTTCCCCCTCTTAAGAAAACAAAAACCGGGATGCGTACGCGACTACGCGTATTAAAACTCGATAACGTAGGCCGCCTTCATTCATGTTGCGAAGTGGCGCCATCTGCATTTTAAATTTTAAACCGGCCCAATTTCAAATTTGGAAATTGAAAGCGTTCAATTAAAATGAACTGTTGAAGAGGTTTGTCAGTTTACTTGTGCAATGGAGGTAGAAATTCCAAGGGTAGGCTTGGCCCCGATGAAAACCTCACCACTGTCTCAACGAAATTGTAAATGTCACCTTGCATGAAGGCGATGGATGAAGGCAAGCAAGCTAAAAGAGGCAGCGGAAAAGCTACAGCTACAATATTAAATAGCGACCGGCAACTAAAAGGGGTAAAGATAGTCCACGACCACTAAGGACAAGAAAAAAACGAGAGAGACATAAAATACCTGGGATTGATAACAGGTTCAAAATTACCGATGGGGGGATATGTAAGAGAGGCGAGACAACCATCAGAGGGCACTGGCATTAACTTTGCAGATGTGTTGCATATTGACTCCCTCGGTACTGCCATAGTGTTTAGGTACTGCGCAAACGCAAGCGCGCTAAAATTTGAATTTGCTTTAACGCAAAGCGTTATCACTGTGAATTCCAGTTACATTATAGCCCCAACTTGAAAGCAACCGTCATGATCCTTTACAGCATAATATGGAATAAACAACAAGAATTGTAACGTTATTATTTATTATAATCAAAACCGTTCTACCATCATGGTGTACGGAAAATAAATTAATATATTCTACCAGATAAGTCACTATAAACCAAGCTATAAACTATTGTGCTCCATTTTTTCCTATCTCGAGTTAACTTCTTAAGGCGCAGGTAGACTAGCAAGTTTTTTTTTTTTTTTTATTTTTTTTTTTTATTTTAGCTATTTAAGGGATCGTTGCCCATATAGCTACGTTTGTACCTTTTTTAGCTAACTAAAAGGATATACCGGGACACACGCTTCTTGCCAAGAGGTCCATCATGGCATTTAGTTACGACACACATGACTTAGACCCTGGATACATGGGAGGGCAAACAAAGGATAAAAGACAAAGGCATTTTATTAGTTATTGTAACCTATTTATATATTTAATTTAATATTAATAAGAAATTCAATGAGATGATCATAAATTTTCTTGTCATTACTGGCTAGCAGTGAAGTTATATTAATGGGCCGACTAATTTTACAATTGATTAGTTGTGACATCATTCGATTGGAAGATTGTTTAGTTTTACTGCACCCGAAAAAAATATGATTAAGGTCAGCGCTTTCAAAACCACATGAACAGGCGGGAGACTCCAAAACACCAATTTTAAATAGATGGGAGGGGTATCTTCCATGACCAAACTTAAGTCGTGCTATGGCCGTATAGTATCTTCTACATACGAAATTATTTGCGTACCAAGGGCTAAACTTAACAGTTGGGTGAATTCTTGCATAATGAGTCATCTGATTGCTATAGTACTGTTTCCAGTGTATGTCCCACTTGTTCGTAATATGTGACTTGACAAAACCCACAAAATCTGACCTCGGTATATTCTGAGTTATAACCTCTCCACTAACAACTGCTAATTTTGCCAAGTTATCTGTTATTTCATTGTGTTTCAAGCCAACGTGTGCTTTCGCCCAATAAAAAACCACCTCAGAACCCCTCTCCTTAATTTTGCACGCTTCTGCTATTATTGCTGTCACCAAAGGATTCTCTAGGTAGTAATGTTTCCGCGTATTGAGACTTTTGAGGACGCTCTGACTATCAGTCATAATAGCAAGGTTTTTAAAAGAATTCCTACTACCAAAAAACTTCACAGCCTGTAATACAGCTGTTGCTTCAGCCGTGAAGATAGTAGATATCTCATTTAACTTATATTGACGGGAAAATTTCGTTCGAAGATCGTAAAAGGCACAACCAACTCCAAGTTCATTCTTAGACCCGTCGGTGAAAATTACATCCCAGGTTTTAAAATCCTCCAATATGCTATTAAACTAGTTACTTGCGGCAATCTCGCGGGAGAAACTTCCACATGTATTTACACTGGGAGCATTAAGTGTCGCGATAAACTGTCGGGCAAGTTGGGTGAGCCTGTGGGAATTCTTTATATTTAACACTCCCAACGCTAAATAACGATTTAAAACTGCTAATAAATTAACTTGACAACTTTCATTCTAATGGATTTTTTCCCCTATTATTTCGTCGTCCTGGAAACAAGGATCATTAGTAGCGGACTACCTGGTCGCCACAATACTCTCCCCCAGACGATGCCGAGGGAAACGAATTACTCGACCAAACCGGGCCAAGACGCCAAAATAAAAGCCGGTTTGATTCTGTCCACCGAGACAGCTTTTGTCTTCCCTTTCACTAACAGATTGAACATCTTGGGGCCACGTTTAACAACCTCATATGGCCCAAAGGTAAGGCGGTTGCAGTGAACGACGCACATGATCATCTCGAATAAATGCATGCGTACATTCGTCCAATCCCTTGATAAAAAAAGGTCGTTGCCTAGAATGGTCTGCCGCTGCAACAGGTCGAATCTCGTTCATCATACTAGTAAGCTCGTCGCTGAACTGCGTAGCTACCACGTTTGACGGAGTTTGTTTATCTAAAAACTCTCCGGGCAAACGCAAAGTTGTACCGAAAACCATTTCGGCTGACGAGGCTCCGAGGTCTTCCTTGAAAGTGCTTCTCAATCCGAGAAGAACCAAGGGAAGTCGATGAGACCAGTCCGTTGTTTCGAAGCACATAAGAGCTGCCTTCATCTGTCGATGGAAACGCTCGACAAGGCCATTTGCCTGAGGATGATAGGCAGTTGTCTTAATATGATCTACCCCCAGACGAATACTCAACTCCCTGAACAGAGTGCTTTCAAATTGGCGACCACGGTCCGTGGTCACTCGATGTGGAACTCCAAAGTTTGAAATCCAGCTCGTGATGAATATACGTGCCATAGTTTCAGCTCGAATATCCGCAATAGGAACTGCAATCGGCCATCGAGTAAAGCGATCGACGGCTGTAAAAATATACTGCATTCCATCCGACGGCGGTAGCGGTCCTACAATATCAATGTGTACATGTTGAAAACGCTCAGATGGAAGGTCAAATTTGTCTATAAGATTGCTCTGTTGTGTTTGTGCACTTTAGCTTGCTGGCATGGTGTAGCGAGTTGCGGTGAAGCGACTCGCTTAATACTAATAGAAAGATAATAATAAGCGGGGAAGCCGCAGATCGGTAAGATCGATATTGTGTAGGGTACAATTAATTTATTAATAATTAGTAATACATAGAGAATAGGGTGCACCATGTGCGTTAACTAGTAATTAGCAATAACCATTTTATCACAGTCCAAGTTTGACGCGACTATATATATTTTAATTAAATTAAAGGTGAGCGGCGAAAAAAGGAGCGGTAGATATACCTCCACCCGACTGTCCCGGCCCGCAGCAGATCCAGCCGATCGCGACGCCCAAAATGGTGGTCTTATCGTCCTGTAGTGAGTAGTGACGTACCGTGGGTATCTTTGGTGGCGACTGACCGGTTCCAATCTCACCTACATGCAACACGTATTTAATACAAGAACTAATTGACGTCTCCATGACGATCACCAATACATAATTACATCATTCATATTGTGCTTATATCAAGCGACATTTGAGTGATTATCAATGAGACACATGCACAACTACAATCCATAATAAGGCATGAAAACTAACTCAATTCACCTTAACAATGCTAATTACTATACTATCACAATCACACAAGTGTATCAGAAGAACAATAAATAATTACATGAGTTACTTACTCGGTAGGTACTTATAATATTTGCACAACCGACCTTAACGATTCGACAGTTTGAAAAGGAAAGAAAGGCAAGACAAACAATTGCCATGCGTGCCAACTGCGATATCGTTTCAATACTTATTTGAACTTTGATGAATGTCGATCTCATGTACCTACAGGGTGTACCGTAACATCCCCCATTGCCAACAGAAAGCGAAGCGTTGACAAGGACAAACAACTCAAAATAATTAATTACAATTAATTACCCATATATCTATAATTTACAGAACAATAAATCGTTTAAGCAGGTCTTTCAATGTAGGGGCGCAAAAACTGAATATGTGACTTGGAGATTTCGTATGTTTCAGCATCTTCCAATAAAACCGACACTGGAGAGGTAAAACCTTTTATCACTTTAGGAGAGGACCATAAGGGGGTAAATTTTTGATCTAAGGTGTGCGGAACAGAGGTTGCAAACTGCTTGACGAGTACCTTTTGATTGATACGAAATTTGGTGGTAGGTAACTTCCCTTTATTATAATATTTTTTTGCCTTTTCGTGAGCTCTCTGAAGGTGTTCGTGAATCTCCACCTGGGAAGAAGGATTGGGACGGGATAGGAAGGATTCGAGATTCCAGATATGGTCTAGAGGGGTTGTAATGTCTCGGTTTAGGAAGATTGTTGCAGGAGAAGTACCTATAGCGTCATGGTAGGTGCTGTTATAATTTAACACAAAAAAAGGAAGGACCTGATCCCAAGATTTATGTTGCATGGCATACTGCTTAATCAAGAGTGTCAAGTTGTACTTGAGATTTCTGTTACATCTTTCACTCATATTGGAAGCGGGATGATATGGAGATGAAAATCCGTGACGTATACCCCACTGCATGCAAAGCTGGCTCACTAAGGTACTGGAAAAACATTTAGCGTTGTCTGAAATAAGATTTTTGGGGGGGCCGTACGTAGAAAATAATTCTGTAAGGTATTTACAAGTAACTTTAGCTGTGGACTTCCGTGTAGGATACACCCTTAACCATTTCGAAAAACTATCTACGCACACAAGCATGAAACGATAGCCTTGTTCGGAGGAAATAACTGGACCTACATAGTCAATGTACACCTTATCCCAAACAGCAGTTGGTGGGGTACTAGCAAGGTGAGCGTTAACTTGAATATTAAGGGGTTTGCACGTTTGACACAAGTGGCAACTTAAAATATAATCCTTAATCCTTTTATACATCCCATTCCACCAAAATCGTTTAGCCACCGACCTATAGGTTTTAGTAATAGAGTTATGGTTCCCAATTTTTGAATCGTGGTAGTAATATATAATTAAATTGTACAATTTCTCTGGAACTACCACCCTCTTAAGACGTTTCCTTCCGACATATCGAATAAGCAGGCTGTTTTCAATCGCAAAGTTATTTACATCCTGCCCGCCTTGGATGCGGGTTTGGATGAGTTTGCAATATTCATCAGTCTGTTGATGTTTTTGAATTGAAATAAACGACTCGGGAAGTTCTATAATTGAATTCAAAAATGGTACTGACATATTACACGGAGAGGTAATTGGATCTTGAGTATCGTCAAATAATCGAGACAATCCATCCGCGATTTCATTAGAGGGACCGGGAATATGCTCAATAGAAAAATTAAATTTAGATAGCTTTAGAAGCCAACGGCCAAATTTTGATAGTTGGGAAGGGTGATTAACAAGCCAACGTATAGCATCACAATCAACTTGTAAGGTAAAGTGTGAATCTGTCAAGTAGTCCTTAAATTTATCTAAGGAAAAAATAACGGCTAAGGATTCCTTTTCATAAGTCGAATATCTCTTTTCCGTTTGTGTTAGTTTTTTTGAAACGAATGCTATCGGATGGATTCCATCTTCTAACTTTTGCAATAACACCCCAGAAATACCCAAATTACTCGCATCAGTACGTACAATAAATGGTTTGGAAAAATTTGGGAGTCGCAACACTGGAGCTTCACAAATGGCTCTTTTGAGGTTTTCGATTGCTGTAACGTGCTCGTCTGTTATTTTAAATTTAACGTTTTTCTTCTTTAGCTCGTTAAGAGGAGCTACTAGTTCTGAAAAGTTACTAATAAATTTCGAGCAAAACGATACTATCCCTATAAATTGCTGCACTTGCTTCACGCTTTTAGGAACTGGCAAGTTACTTATGGCTTCAATCCGCTGAGGATCTAACTGAACGCATCCCGACGAAACTACATGCCCCAAGATTCTAAGTTTAGACATCGCGAAACGAGCTTTTGCTGGATTCAGAGTAATACCGCATTTACGAAATCGCTCTAAAACAATCTCTAAGTGACCTAAGTGCTCGGACGGGGTCTTAGAAAAAACTATGAAGTCATCAAAGTAATTGAGGAAAAATTTAAAGCGTATATCAGAGAATTCTTTGGCGATTAGCCTGTTTAATCCCGTAGGACTGACTTTAAGACCAAAGGGCAAGTAGTTATATTCATAATGGGCGGTAGGAGTAACGAAGGCAGTATATTTCTTGGAACTTTCTGTTAATGGTATCTGGTGGAAGGCAGAATTCATATCAAATAACGTAAAGATTTTTGCACCGTGTAAATAATTGAAAATTGCTTGCTGGTTAGCTGGAGGGAAAGGGTCGTATTGTATTATTTTATTAATGGCTCGGTAGTCTACTACTAAACGTTTCCCCGAATCCTTCTTTGGTACAAAAAACACAGGGCTAGCGTATGGGGACCTACTCTTCCGAATAATTCCGTTGTCTAACAACTCATGAAGATATACATCTAGTTCAGCTTGCTTTACTGGATTTAAATAAAATGGGGTTTTATAAATGGGCTGGTCCGAAGAGACCTTAATATTATACTCAAAATTTTTTACTATGCCCATACTCTTTGTTAAAACATCTGAATATTTGGATTTAATGTCATCGATCTGTTCACTTTGCGATTTATTTAGATTAAATTTAATTTCGCAAATTGAGTGCAGCATTTCCGTCTGCTGACATTTGTGGTCACTAAATTTAATTTTATTATCCGGGTTAAATTTAAACGAAATGAATTTTTTCTCGAAGTTTAACACAGCATTCATTGCATTTAGTGACGGGATGCCCAAGATCACATCGAAATATAAATTTGAAAACTCGTAAAATTGTATCGGCCACGAATAATTTGAAATCTTAACAAATAGTTTGGTACACCCTTTAACCTTAATCATTGAAGAGTCTGGAAGCATAACGGTTGACGAGACTGTAGTGTAATTAATTTTATTAATTTTTTTTAATTTGCAAGCAAACCTTGACGATATGAAATTGTAGCTTGAACCCGTATCTAATAGAGCAAAAACCTTCAGGCTACAGATTTCGACTAAAACTAAAGGAACGCAATTAGAACTAGGTACATCATGTCTAGGGGTTAAGAAACAAACTAGTTTTTTGGATAGCCTTCTCGTTTATTGTTACGTTTGAAGCAATTATCTATTGAGTGCCCATAGTTTCGGCAATATCTACAAAAACGCGAACCGTTGGGGATAGAATCGGAAGGTTGTACTTGAGGTCTCTGAATATCATTTAATCTTGCGGGTACCGTGCTTGGTAAGGTAAACCCCTTTTCCCTCCGTATAGTTGATTCGATTTTTTGAATGACACTATCCAAATCCAAGAATGTGAGGGGTTCCGGAAAAAATTTAAGAATACCAAAGGTTTGTCTATTACAATGGGCCCATATTAACGAGATTAAGTGCGATTCTGGGTAATTAAGATTCATCGCGGCTGATTTTGATTTGATATCCAACACAAAAGCTTCAAATGTTTCGTTTTCCCTCTGCAGCCTATGAATAAATCTGTCGCATAGTAATATCACATCAGAACGATTTACATACTTGGTGAACAGTAAATTCCTTAATTGGGACCATGAATGGTGCATCATAGTAGACCACCATTCTCTAATCTGGTCATCGACTTTAACTGCCAAGGATACCAAAAGACTCAAAAAATCAACCTTGGGAAACTTTAACAATTTGTCCACAGATTCTATAAATAATACTATTGATTGGGGGTCGTTATGACTGCAGTTTGGGACATTAGAAATTAACTGCTTAGAATCTACTGCAAATTTAATGGAGTGATACGAAGGGGCATGGATTGCTATTTGCGCTACTGCATCGTTTGTTGATTTAATATCATTAGCAAGTGAGCTTAGCAAGGATGTAGTCAGTACTGACTTTCTTGCTTTCGGCATGTTAGCCCTTTTCGCTTTAGGTTTGAAGGAAGGAGCTATAACGGTAGGCTGAGGAATTAATTCAGTCACATCACTCTGGACCTGAGTTGGATCAGGGACAAGCTTAAGACGACGGAAGGCAGCAAGAAGTTCTTCTTCCTGCCGAAGAAATTGAGACTGGCTAACCGTAGGGATAGATGCCGGACTGCAAGATGCTGAATCTGTTTTGGCCGCCTTAGCGGCACTTCGCGTAATCGGGGACATTAACAATTGAAATATCCACCAATATTAAAATACTTATAAAGAAATCTTAAACGAATAATTAGGTACCATACCTACGCCGAAGCGAATAATTTTAATCGATTAGCGGTAAACCCTGGGTCATACGCAAAATCGGCAACGTAACAAATCGGGAACAATTAAGCAACTAGTATCAAAATAAATCGCAGTTCGCTGCTCACCTCAATTTAGAAAAAAGGGGGAAAAAAAAAAATTTGAAAATTTTACGCTCTGCTACCATTTGTAGCGAGTTGCGGTGAAGCGACTCGCTTAATACTAATAGAAGATAATAATAAGCGGGGAAGCCGCAGATCGGTAAG